CAAATTATAATTATTTTATATTTAATCAATAATTATAGCTATGTCTAAACCAGGGGTCGGCAACCTTTTGGGACGGAAGAGCCAAAAGTTACAATTTAGAAAATTTCACAGTTTTTAAAGAGCCAATAACGTTTTTTATTTCAATTTTAGGATATTTGAATATTTGAATATATATATATATATATATATATATATATATATATATATATATATATATATATATATATATATATATATATATATATATATTACATTTAAATTAAATAGCTTAAAATATGAAATAATATTTATTCCCATAAAAAATTAAAAGCATACACATGTTTCGCACAAAACAAAATAAGGTAGTTTAGCAAGCTCTGCTCGAAATTAGAAACTTTAAATTATTATTATATCGTTCATTACCGAGTGTTGTAGACTACTATTTTTGTAAGTTTTAGAAATAGATTAAAATAACTATAAATATGTGAGCCTGGAGCTCAAGAGCCGCATGCAGCTCGCGAGCCGCGGGTTGCCGACCCTTGGTCTAGTCCAGGGGTCGGCAACCTGCGGCTCGCGAGCCGGATGCGGCTCTTTTGATGTTAAGGTGCGGCTCTTCGGCTCCATGCACACATATTAATAATTATTTTATGTTATTTTCAAAACTCATCAAAATACTGTTCTGCAACACTTGGTAATAAATGACATAATAATAAACATAAACAATAAAAACTCGTTATTCTATTAGAATATTTAGGTACACCCTATTTTTAATGTACCTCCTATTAAATTGTTCATCCCGAATTGAAACATTCAACTTTATGGTGGATATCACAAAGAAACTAAATGAGCTAAATGTAAAACTGCAATGAAACGAAAACCCAGCCTATGCCTTGCTTAAGAAGTGGATGTTTCGAAAATAAATAACTTTTTTTGTTTGTTGAAGACGCGGAGAGCGGTAAATTACTTGATTTAGAAAAATCCGAAAACAAATTACATGAAACCAATGCAACTATTAGCATGAATTGCTTCAGCATTACACAGAGGCGTAGCGATCCTTCCCGTCGCCAAACTTTCGATTTGCATCCCCCCAAACTTTCGATTTGCACCCCCCCCCCCCCCGTTTAAACTTTCGATTTGCACCCCACCCACACCCCGCCCGGGGACATATGTCACCCCCCCCCCCCCCTGCTACGCCTCTGGCATTACAACAAACGAAACTAAGGATGGATTCACTGAGAGATTTGAGCAATTCATAATAAATGCAAGTACTCTGACGTTCACAGTAGACTCTCAACACAAAAACAAATGAGATTAACTTTGAGCTATTTGGAATCGATGCTGTTTTGCTTTAAATGCAATTGCTGGATTAAAACACGACTCATTTGTGGAAAGGAAAATTCACAGAACTCAAGAGTAAGTAAAAATAGTTGAAGGTCCAGTAAAACATGCACGTTACGCTGCGCAACTGGATAGCTGTAAAGTTGAGGCACTCATATGTGACGCATGGAATAGTCTTGCAGGATAGTACAGTAACGTGGAGTTGGCATCTGGAGTGCTGACGATCTTTGGGTCAACATATTCGTTCTAGCAAGAGTTCAAAAGTACATAAATATAATAAAAAGTTAAGTAAGAAGCCAACTAACAAAAACAAATCTTGAGGCGGGTTGAAACTTAAAACTGGAAGTTATGAGCCAGATTTAAACACACTTTCAAACAGCATGAAAGGTCTATGCTCGAATTGATGTAACAAATATAAATATTCAATGATCATAGTTATACTATTGGATTACTAATTTTATAATTTTAGCAGAGCTACTAAAATACTATAATATGTTTTGTGCACTACATGTGTATTTTTAAAAAATATGAATAAATATTATTTCATATTTAAAGCTATGTATTTAAATTAAATATATATATATATAACTATATATATATATATATAACTATATATAACTATATATATATATATATATATATATATATATATATATATATATATATATATATATATATATATATATATATATACCTAATCCTAAATATTGAAAAAAAAGGTTTGTGGCTCCTTAAGAACTTGTAAATTTTGTAAATTGCATCTTTTGGCTCTTCCGTCGGAAAAGGTTGCCGACCCCTGGTCTAGTCAGTTTCCCGTATTTGATTTATTTTTTAATTTCCTCTATTTTTTTTTTTTTTTTTTCAAAAATTACATTCTAGAGGCATATCTCCTGAATGTACTTTATTATGTTGTCTTAAATCAGAACTTCAAAAAAATCTTTTAAGACAAACATCACATTCATATTGCTTATCTTCAGAATGAACAATTTTATGACGTAATAGATCCTTCACATCCACAAAGTTTTTATGACAAACATCACATTCTCCTAAATGAACCTTTATATGTGCTCTTAAATTAGAACTTTGAGAAAACCTTTTGTGACAAACATCACATTCATGTGGTTTATCTCCTGAATGAACTTTTTTACGTCGTAATAGACCCTTCTTAGCACTAAATCTTTTGTGACAAACATCACATTCATGTGGTTTATCTCCTGAATGAACCTTTTTAGGTCGTAATAGACTATTCTTAGCACTAAATCTTTTGTGACAAACATCACATTCATGGGATCTTTCTCCTGAAGGAATCTTTATATGTGCTCTTATTAGAAACGAGAACTTTGAGAAAACCTTTTATGACAAACATCACATTCATATGGCTTATCTCCAGAATGGACATTTTTATGCATATTAATATTAGAACTTTGAGGAAATATTTGCTGACAATGAACCACCTTATTTTTGTCCATAGACATTTGTAGATTTTCTTCAAGTCCATTTTTTTGTTTGTCCTCAAAAAATAAAAATTCTTTAGCCAAATCTTGTTTTAAATTTTCAGTAGTTGACAATTCTGGTTTTAAATTTTCAGATGTTGAAAATACTGCTGTTGCAGCAGGTTTCTTATTCATTTTTTTAATTGAAAATGTAATATCAGGATTAAAATTTTGAGAAGTATTAAATGACTTTTTGAGTTTTATATCCTGGAAATTAAAAAAATGATAATTCTGGTTTTATGTCATCAGAAGTAGAAAATTCTGGTGATGTTACGTAACAATAAAAAAAATAAACAAGATGGCTGCTATAGTAAACGAGCATGGTTGCATCTGTTGAAAACATCGCTAGTCTTCATTTGTTACTGAAATTTTTTAATTCAATTGTTTAAAAACAGTTCATTTCTGAGATGCTGTCCAGCATGGAGGTGGAAACAGATGTGTTAGCTGCAGTTTCATCTACTGTAGATATACAGTCAAATAAATTAACAGAGTTTTCATCTTCTGAAGATTTGAAACCTGATCTATCAACCATAGTATTATCATCTTCTGAAGACATAAAAACAGAATTAACATTTTTTAATTTCCAGGATATAAAACCTGACATGACATTTCAAACCCATCAAGATGTTAAACCTGATGTTACAACAGAATTTTCTTCTTCTGAAGACGTAAAAGCAGAATTATCAACATTGTTTTATTTCCAGGATATAAAATCTGATATGATATTTAAAAACCCTCAAGATGTTAAACCTGATGTTACACCAGAATGTCCTCTTTTTTTTTTTTTTTTTTTTATCTTTTGATTAATTGTAGTATTTTATAAACAAATGTATGCCCTGTGTTCTGTGCATTTTAATAATTCTTTAACGTTTGTGCTTTGAAAAAAATTGAGTGGCATTTTATTTCAACATTGAAGCCTAACCACAAATGATTATTCTAGACTAGAAAGGGGATTTGTATTGAAGTTAAATGCAAGGTTATGGTCTGTGATTGGTGTATCAATGATTAGTACTGGTTTGCAATGTATAAAAAAATTGGTGCTAGACTTATTCTGAGAAAATTCATGCAAGCAGGCATTGAAGAAAATGATGAAAGACTAAACTTATTTACACATTGTCAGCCAACCAAACACTTGGTTTAGTTAGCCAAACAAGACCCAGTTTAATTAATCAAAGACTTTGTTTAGTCAGCAAAATAAGACTTGGTTTAGTTAACCAATTTTATTTTTTTTTTTTAATTTTTTTTAAATACTTTTATTTGCAATTAAAACAAGTACATCAACATCAAATTTTTTAACACAATTTTGAACACCAAATGAAAACGAAAGGTTTTGCAAATGTACATAATGAATATTTATATGATGTCATGTATTTGATTATAAAAAAAAATTGCAAAGGATGACAGTAAAAGGGGTGAAGGTCGAATGAAAGTGTCAGAAGTCTGGGTGGGGAGAGGAAAGGAAATTTTTCAGAGAGGGTCAATGGGACAGTGAAGCATTTTCTATGTAGGGAAACAACTTAAGTTGACTAGTTGAAAGGGTGTTGTAGTGGTCGCATTGAGTTTGCAAAAGGTTGCAGTGTGAAAGATGAGGGGAAAGAGACAAGATTTAGAACTTTAAATAAGTTCTGGATATTGATGTTGCGGTGGGTGGTGGGGTCGTTGGAACAGTTAAAGGGATTGTGGGGTTATCATGTCTGGGGGTAAAGTTGATAGAGGGGGAGAGAGGAGGGGGTAGATTTTTATTTTTTTTATTTTTATTAATTCAATTGTTTTAAACATTTAAATCAGTAATGATAATATATTTGATAGATTTTACATAGCATCAAAGACATGAACAATGAACATCAATTGCATATATAATAATCAAAGGGAAAAAATAAAATGGCATAAGAACTAGATTAAAATAAGGTGTGCAAACTAGGTTTCTCTTCACTGCTTAGTTTAGTGTGCTGCGGAGTCAAAAGTTCACACTGTAGCCACCCATGGACAGCAATAGAAACGACTGTGGGAGAAGTGTCTCTGTAATCACGTACTGATCTATCATTCCAAAACTTTCCATGACATAAAATTGACCCTTGGCAATGAGGGCACGCTACCTTGAAATGTCCGCCAGTCCGGTTGAGTGGGGGGGGGGGGGGGGGGGGGGGAGTGTGTGTGTGTGTTGGGGGGGGGTTGAGGTGGGTATCTCTTTCTACCATTCAGGTTGTGCATTTTAAAACCCGGGAAACAGAAGACTGTTCTAATGTTAATTTACTTGGGGGCTGATCGAGTGATGTTTGGCTTGAGACTGTCTAAATTAAAATTAATACTTTATTTATTTCTTTCCTGTATATTTCTTTTTTTTCTCAGTTAAGTGAGAGTTCCCAGTCTATGTCTTAGCTTTGCTTGAAATATTTCTTTTAACTCGATGTCCGTGTATTTTGTGAAAAAATATCTGACTTTATTCCTAATTTGCCATATAGTCGATCTATAAATAGCCATTGCTACTAGTCTGTTTTCGTCTTCTGTTCTTTGTCTAGTCGTGTTAATTAAATTAAGTGTGATTGCTTTATTTGTTGTGGCTGTTTGATTGGTGGTGTTTAATATTTTCGCAAGTGTTTGCTTTGTTTTCTGTACTAATATACAATCTAAATAAATGTGTTTCTCAGTTTCTTGTATATTTTGTTTACACGTTTGTAATGTCCTCTATTGAGGATCCAAAATTTTGATATATCAGTTATTTCTGGCAACGATCAAATGTATGTCATCAAAATTGACTAGAAGTATGTTATGATAAATCTACGATATTTAGACTTTCGAACAAAATCTACAGTTAAATAGTCAATTGGTAAAATATATATTGTTTTGACACATTTATATAACTAACATAAAAGATTTGTTATAATTATTATGTAATAAAATTTAGAGCGTTTTATTCTGTTTTTCAAGCATGTCTTAGTTATACTTGGTTAATTTAGCTATTCTTGTAAAAGTTATTTCCCTTGAAAAAAGTTCGGTATTTGAATTTCCGAATGGGAGATAATTCGTTGCTTAACTTTACATTCATTTCAAATTCCTGCACTTTAGGTTGACCGCTTACATATAAATACATCTTTAAGTTATTATTTGCTATTGTAAAAATTATAGAAAGCTGAAGTTCTAAACAAAATAGTTTGGTTGGTTTTATTTTTAGCATTATCAAGTTGAAAAACAAATACATCAGTAGCCGTTGTAGATTTCAATACTTAATGTTAGTAGACCAACAGCAGGAGATAGTGCAACTAATGCGCCTAAAATCGCCTTAGTCGCAAATAAATCATCTAATTAATTCAGTGTCCTTTTCATATTTTCACCCTCTCCCAAAGGATTCATGTATAGCAACTGTAGGCTGGAATCTATAACATTTATAACCTTTTATTTTTCAAAAACAAAAAAATCGTTACATAATCACACAATATAGACATTTTACAATTGTAACTAAAGACAGTCAAGCTTAAAACAGGTAAGTTCCGTTTTGGGGGAGGGGGGCGGGTATGGCACTTGAAATTTTCTAAGGGGGGTGGACTATATCGTAAAGTACAAAGTAGACTCGTGGATTTAGCAATAATTTCAATAGAATGTGATTATGCTTGCAAACTGGAATTGAAGGAATTAGTACAAACTTTTGAGACGAAGGAGGCAAATAAAATTTGATTTTGATGTCTACTTATAACGTGTATGCAATTGATAATAAATTAAGATCTCACTTTTAATTAATTGTTTTCTTATTCATATGTTTTAGTAATTAATGTGTGTGAAAGGGGGCGTTTTAATAAGTTTTGCTAAATAACCTGGCGCCGGCACTGAGTCTATTGTTCTTCATTTGTTGTTCGACAGCTAAGAATAAAATTCCTAACAGACTAATATATATTTTGTACGATGAATAGTTCACTTTTGCTTTAGTTTCTAGTGACAAATATCCTCCTGAATTCCCGTTGCGTTCTCCGTCATGGCCGCCAGCCTACTAATTTCACCTGGAGACGGAAACAGACATGTAGGCGTAGCTCCTTCAGCTATGGTGGCTCTACGGCGACCCCCGTACATAATGTTTTCAAATTTTTGAATAGCGTCTTTGTTGATTTCCTCCAGCTGTTCTCGTGATCTCCTCCGCGCCATGTTTACATCTGGTATAGAACCGATGCTTTTCTTCCTCCCTTTCGATTTACACACATTCTCTGTGACTGTAGGTTTCTGATAACTCGAAGAGAGCGTGTCTGATTCGATGGACTCTTCTTCGTCTGCAGTCTCCGGAAGCTCACAGACAGATTCTTTACTGCTCTGTTTGGTTAACGCTGCTGCGCGCGTCAGAAAAAACGTATCGATGACGGGGGCGCTGTGACGACGTCTGCTTAGTCTATCACTCAACTTGGACGTCGCGCCCAGAGATTGTTGAACCTGCTGGAGTTTTTCTAATTTTTTCTGCAGAATAGTCTGCTGCCTGCGAAAATCTGACGATACGATCTTCTGGCATTTCTCGATATCTTTTAGCTCAATCTTTTTCATGGCGACAAGATGGCTTTCAGATTTTACAAACGGCGTGCGTTTGTTGTTGTCTTTGACGATCTGAAATTTGATGCCATCTTCGAGTGAGTACTTGAGCTCTCCCTTATCCATGCTAGTAGAGAACACTTAGACCATAGAGATTTTCAATACATGAAGAAATTTGAATACTTAAATGAAGAAAAGCATTATATGTTTCCTCTCTAAAAGATGTGTATAGAATAAAGAATTCTTTTATTATAAGAATCTGAAAAAAAGAAATGTAAAATTAGCTAAACAAATAAAAGCATATGTTTACTTATGTACATGGCGATTATAAATATATATATATATATATATATATATATATATATATATATATATATATATATATATATATATATATATATATACATATATATATATATATATATATATATATATATATATATATATATATATATATATATATATACATATATATATATATACATATACATACATACACAAACATATATATATACATATATATATATATACATGTACATACATACACAAACATATATATATATATATATATATATATATATATATATATATATATATATATATATATATATATATATATATATATATATATATATATATATATATATATATATATTATTTATATATATATACATACACAAACATATATATATATATATATATATATATATATATATATATATATATATATATGTATTTAGAGAGAGAGAGAGAGGCACATATATGTCTATATATATGTCTGTATCATATGATAACATTAATACAATGATTGATTTAGTTGTTGTTTAAAGACAGTCTAAACTGTATATTACCAGTATTCCGGCTGAGGTCCAAAGAAATAAATTATTATCCTAGCTGCATGACTGTGGCTGTACACCTATAAATATTGTCTAGATCCTACTCCCGGAAGTCGTCCAACCCTATCACACTGACCAGAGTTCCTACTTGATCGGTCCCTATGTGCCCACCACTCGTTCTGCCGTCGATCAAGATTTTATCAGATCAACGTTTCGCTGAGTTATTTTCTCCTGTCTGAATACTTTAGGCCGCTTAAACTACGCTTGAGTTCATCTGTTTCTTTCATGGTATATCTCTAATGTTGATTTTAGAACCCAAAACACAACAAACAAGAAAGGAACACCGGCCGATAAATCAGGACCTATTCATACTCTTATTGATTAAAAGTCAAGCAGTATTAGTTTTTTAGTAGTTGTGGATTAGCCATACCTTCATATTTATATAGATTTAGTCCTTATCGCCGACGGCGAGAATGCAACGGTATGTAAATTGTAATCAGTTTTAGTCGGGTTCACATACAGTTACTTCCCCTTTCAACACTAAAGATTAGCAACTATTTTTAGGAAATTTAAATGTTAATTTAAAAAAAAATGTTTTAGACAAATATCCTGAAAAATTCTTATCTTTAGATTTTAAAAAATAGTGACCTAAGTATGTTACCTGCTTGTGTGTTACTGTATTGCTGTTTGTGTATTACTGTTAGTGTATTGCTGCTTGTATGCTTACAACACTTGCATGTTTATGTGTGGGCCTCTATAAATTTAGCTGCCACTTTAGCTTATTAAAACCCGTAAACATGACATAGCCTACTATTGAAAACAAATTAGCATCGGCGTGGTTTGGCCGATAAAGCTCATGATTGCGAAGCCGAGAGATCCCGAGTTCGAACCCCCGGGTAGATACAGCTCGATAGCCAGGGGCGGCAACCCATCTAGGAGAGAATCCTTTAAAATCAAACCTCTGCTGTCTTGTAACTTGTTGTTTGTTCTTAGTTGGACAACGATTATGGAAACAAAATGAAAATGCAGGCTAAAATCGGAGTCGTAACATGTTGACGAGTAATACTTAATTGAGTTGGGGGAAATCCCGTCTAACAAAACAATAAAGAACAAAGAAGAACATAAGGAAAAAAAATAACTGAGACAAACCATTGAGCCAGGTTACAAAGAAAAAAAAACAACTTATATAACTATCACTAAATTCTAACTATACTTCCGTTATTGCCTATTTCACATAAAACAAAGTTTAATAACGCCCCAAAATAATTGAACGGCCCTACGCATAAATTTATTTTAATAAAAAAAAAAAAACTACCTGGTTAGTTCCCCTAGCATGTAAACTTTCCTTAGCCCTTGGAGTGTAAGTGTCGAACACGCAAGCTGAGAGGATCACGTTAAAGCCGTCTATTTATACTCTTTAGGGAATACACGAAAGTTATTTTTGACTTCTGAAGAGCCCCGCTAGACAATAGCGTACCGCTTAAATAAACATATTAGGGCTGCTAGGGCCACTTTGTCTTGTTTACTTAGCAGTAATTAGATATATTAAATTTTTGTTTTCAGCTTGACCATTAACTTAACCCACTAAACGAATTATTTCGTCAGAGGTCTAAAACTGGAAACTTGGTTTCCCTCTGGGTTGGTGTTGAGGGGAGATGGGGGTGGGGGAGGTGTCTCGAGCTTTTCACAAGCTTTGGCCTCAATGCTTGCACTGATGACCTATTTTGTTTTACCATCTTGAACAGTTTAGCCCACGACCCAAACCACAGAAAAGTAAATAGAGCATTTAGAATCACTACATTTTCTAAATACTTTCGTTTGTGTTAATCCGAGCCTGGCTATAATACTATAATAGCAGAACATTATTTAAAAAATGTATTGCGCTTTAAAATCAAAATTCAGTGTTCGTTCCAGATTTATTGTTTGAATAGCTAAACTGTCAAGGCCCGCGGCCGTATGTTTTTGAAAAATTGAAAATAAAATTTGACGAAAAAATTCGAAATAACAAGCTTCCTGCATTATTTGGCTTAGATTTCATAATTTCATGCAGGTGTAGTCAAATTTTGTATTGAATTTTACAAAATTCTATTCCCATGCCGGGAATCGAACCCGGGCCGCCTGGGTGAAAGCCAGGAATCCTAACCACTAGACCACATGGGACTGCAAACTTTTGGCTGTTTGAGATATGTTGATGTGAGTAGATTCAGAAATACTTTACATATAATCCGAAAAAGAAATCGATTACTCGTGTTGACGTGCACTTAATCTTTATCCGTTATCGACTATACTTTTTAAATATTCATCCAAGCAACTTAAGTTACTCTAGTATGATCCGCGAAGAGTTTAAAATATAGACTGCCAAACAGATAGGCCTACGGCATTTCTGAAACATCGCCTTCATTAGTTTTATCTACTGATGTATTTGTTTTTTTTAACTTGATAATGCTAAAAATAAAACCTACCAAACTATTTTGTTTAGAACTTCTGCTTTCTATAATTTTTACAATAGCAAATACTCAGAGGCGTAGCGACCCTTCCCGGCGCCCGGGGACATACTTTCAATTTGGCGCCCCCCTCGGGAGCAAATTTTCGATTTGCACCCCCACCTCGAACTTTTCATTTGCACCCCCCCCCCTCAAACTTTTCATTTGCACCCCCCCCTAAAACTTTCAATTTGGCGCCCCCCCTAAGGTCGGCGCCCGGGGACATATGTCCCCCCCCCCCGACCCCCCCCTCGTTACGCCTCTGCAAATACTAACTTAAAGTTGTATTTATATGTAAGCGGTCAACCTAAGGTGCAGGAATTTGAAATGAATGTAAAGTTAAGCAAATAATTATCTCCCATTTGGAAATCCAAATACCAAATTTTTTTTATTCAAGGGAAATAACTTTTACAAGAATAGCTAAATTAACCAAGTATAACTAAAACATGCTTGAAAAACAGAATAAAACGCTTTAAATTTTATTACGTAATAATTCTAACAAATCTTTTATGTTAGTTATGTAAAGGTGTCAAAACAATATATATTTTACCAATTGACCACTTAACAGTAGATTTTGTTTGAAAGTCTAAACATGGCAGATTTATCATAACATACTTCTAGTCAATTTTCATGACATAAATTAAATTAATCATGTATACATTGTGTAGTAAATGAAAATTTTGGATCCCTTAATAGAGGGACGTCTTTTAAACAATCAATCAAATACGGGAAACTGATTAGATGTAATTATATATATATATATATATATATATATATATATATATATATATATATATATATATATATATATATATATATATATTCAATTATCCTAAAATTGAAATAAAAAATGTTATTGGCTCTTTAAAAACTGTGAAATTTTCTAAATTGTAACTTTTGGCTCTTCCGTCCCAAAAGTTAGAGGACGCCTTCCTTTCCTTGTAGTGTGTTCCCTCCTGAATTGAAATAATCTTACGATCAACTTGACTATTCAATATGCTATGCTACATTCACAGAAATAATACAATTTGTTTCCCTTGACCTTGACCTTTAACACCGTGGTGTTCATTTAGTTCGCTTAAAACTTTAAATGGCTTCAAACGAATTGGCTTCTTGATGGAGAGTTTACAATGAAATATTTGAAAATTCTTGTGCAGTGTTAACAAACTATAAAATGCTTGCTTGGGTATTTTTGCTAATATATTTGTACATATTTGTACAAATTCGATTTTTTTTGTTTACTGATGTTTTAAACGAAAGTTTCCTTTTCAAACCTGCCCGTCGATGTGGCAAGTGGGGTAGAGATATGTAGCCTCTACATATGAAGTGATAATATGGTCAGCATATGCCCAGCCGCCTGTATTTTCCCTTACATTTGTCAGGTACCCGTTAGAGCTGGGTGGACTCTAGGATGTGTTACGGATTCGAACTCGAGACTTTCGGAATAAAAGTCTTATGCGCTACTATTCGATCACGCCACCTCAGAATTATGTTTTCGGTAACTTAATTTTGTGGCGAGTTTCTTCCAGGCATCTCTTGGGGGGAACATATATACTTTAATCAGTGTCGTCCCCCCCCCCCCCCGGAGAAAAAAGTCTGAAAGAAATACTGATTTTGTGACGGCGTGTGATAAGGGGGAGGGGGGGGGGGGTCAGATGGTGTTACGTTACACTTTTGCATTATAACAAAGAAATGTTAGGAATCGATTTTTAGCCGTTATTTCGCGTTTTAGAAAACTGTTTTAATAAATTGTAATAGGAATTGATTAAAATACTCTATGTTGAAAAATTTCAGACAAAATTTTGGAAAAATATCGATGCTTTAAGGGGAGGTTAAACTCCCAAAATACATATTTAAGTCAGAAATGTTGATTTTTGAAAATCTATTGTTTCTGAAACTACATTCAATTCTGAACATTTTTGTATAACCTATTTGCAAAATTATCGTATTGCTAGTATTTTGTATAATTTTTTAATTAATGAGACTAATGACGTAATTCACCTATATTAAGCAACATTTAGCAACATAAAACTTAAAAACTAACTAAAATAGATGTTCTTATTGCTGAGTAAGAGGCTCCAGATGCAATTTATGTAACTGGGAGGTTTTAAAAATGACTTATTTGGTATAGTTTTCGCTTTTTCTCGTTTTTTTTCAAATTTAGTATATTTTTCACTATTTGGCGTTTTTCTCAAAATGTTACTTTTCAACAAAATTGTACCAGTTAAATCTCTATAACTAAAAAACTAATTGAGATTTTTAGCTAAAATTTTACTAAACACTGCTTGTAAAGATGACCTAAAAGAATTTCGATATCTTTGAAACTTCTCATTTTATAAAAAAAAAAAGCTAAGTCTACTCCCTACTTTTTGGAAAAAATTTAGGTCTCACATTTTAAAACTTTGGCTAAAATCCACTTTTTATTATTTTCTAATTGTTTTAGTTCATCTTTTTTGTAATTGCGTATATTACACTATATTAAAGATTTGTGTTATTCTGACAAACAGAAGCTGTGTTATTGTGATTTCAACGAGAGCTAATTTTGAGCTATTTTACCCTAAAAATGACACTTTTTAGAAAATATTTTCACAAAACCATAACTTTTTAGTGATTTTTTTGCATTTTTTTTCATATACTATGCTAGTTACAACTTCCTTATCACTCAAAAAAGTCCTAACACCTAAATTTCAATTTGGTGGTTTAACCTGCCCTTAAGAAAAATTGAACTGCAATTTTGAGAGGGGTTGTAGGATGAGGTGTGACGTCATATTAGGGGGGGGGTCTGGCTTTTTGTCAAAAAAGCGTGACGTCATGAATGGATGACCCCTGTAAGCACACTTGCCTTAACACTAGGCCATGCTGATATTCAATGTTACAAAATAATGATTCACAGGAAACAAAAGAACCATTGAAACGATGTAAAATTGTAACAAAATACACTGAACTTCGAATAAATATTACAAATTAGTTTGTTTATTAACAGCCATAAATACATCTTTTTGTAATTAACAGCAACAAATCAATTTTGTCCACTGCACCTTTCCACATAGTAGAGTGCGTGGTCTACTTGTGACGTCAGGATAACTTCCGGCTCCCATTGATAATTTTATCAAGCTCTCTAGCACGGAGAAACAAAAAGATAAACTATTACATTTCTCTCCCCTCAACTCCTCCTACTATCAATAGCAAAGATTCTGAGTTGGAGAGGCAAGGGTGAGGCATTTATAAGAATTTTTAGCGCAATTTCCATTCTGGAGAATTGCGTTTATTAACTCGTCTTTTCTGGGAATGGATGGATGGATGTGTGTCCGCAGCTTTAAGTCGTATCTCCTCCTCAACGAAGCAATATCGAGGACTAGTTCCAAAAGCAAATATGTTAAGCAAGTTACCAGGATGAACATAGGCCAAAAAAATTCCGGGCTTCTTTCATGAATTTCCCGGAAAAGCCAAAAATACTCGAAAAAATGCAGTTTTTGGCCCATATCTCGGCAACCAGACCACTTAGCGACTTGAAACATGTACCAATCGATTCCTGCCATAATTTAGAACAATATTGCCGCAGAAAGTTTTCAAAAATATCCTTTCGTTCGGTAAAAAATTTATTTTGAATTAATTAAAATTTGGACCGAATTAGTAGGCATTTTATCCAACCACACCACACGCGTCATCACGTTCAATAGCTGCGCCATCACGTTCAATGGCTGCGACATCACGTTCGGTAGCTAGGCGCGCAATGGTTTTTAGTCATGTTACTCTATTGTAAATAAAACATGTAAAATTCTGATTTTTTTTTTAATAAAAAACGTTTTAATAACTAACCAATGGTTTTACTAACCCTGCTCTTGATTTACGCTACAACAGAGCTATTTTTAGATAACATAAGGAAATTGCGCTAAAATTGTCACTAGACTTTTTTTAATTACTTGTTTTCGCTATCATAGTATTAGAATTATCTATCGACAAAAACATGTTATATTGGTATTTAAAGACTAGGGCCCTATAGTGTATCTTATATGTTAATATACACCCATAAATTATTTAAAGCAAATCAATAGACTTTAATACCTATTAGCGGAGTTAAGGCCATCGAATTTTTGGTATCTAGGGGACGTAACTCTCAGAGTTTCTGATCCGTCCTAAAATAAAAAATAAACTGAGTTATCTCTTTTTATTTGAACTGCGTTTATTCTTAGGCATAGTCAGGCTAAGAAAAGATGGGGAAAAGAAAACAGTAACGATATTTCAAGATAACGTTTTGTGTAATCAATTAACAACATGTTTTTGAAGTGTGCATCTCACACCGAATACAGCATTGTGTATTCTGCAAAATAAGACCACCACACACATTCTGACACTGACCATCACTTACACATTCTAGCATTGACTAACACACAGCCTTCCACAGACACACAGACACACAGGCACACAGACGCACAGACACACACAGACACACATTGTCTGGCACTTACAGGCAAGTAAACAACGTACCCACGCAGGCGGCGTGTCGCTATCTCCTTGGCCCGCTGGAGGGGAGAAACAAAATTGTTTGGCCTGAAACCTGTTGAGTGAGGACCCTGGGGGAGGGGTGGGGGGGGGGGGGGGTGGGAGGCAACAACACCAACAATTAATGGAGGGAATACATAACTTGATGCAGATTAGTCACAAATATAAGAAGTATTATTATATTTAGATAAAGTTATTACTTTAAAATACCAACGATTGAATGAAATATACTTTGCCTGACCATCAACTGACACTCCAACTGACCATCACCTGACCATCAACTGACCATCAACTGACCATCAACTGACCATCAACTTACCATCAACTGACCATCAACTTACCATCAACTGACCATCAACTGACCATCAACTGACCATCAACTGACCATCAACTGACCATCAACTGACCATCAACTGACCATCAACTTACCATCAACTGACCATCAACTGACCATCAACTGACCATCAACTGACCATCAACTGATCATCAACTGACCATCAACTGACCATCAACTGACCATCAACTGACCATCAACTGACCATCAATTGACCACCAACTAACCATCAACTGACCATCAACTGACCATCAACCGACCACCAACTGACCCACACAACCAACGTTTTAATACTCACACTTCGCCTGACCATCAACGGCGCTGGTACCAGAAGACCGTGCGAGCCTGTAGCAACACCTGTAGTGCCCAGGTTAATCGAACAGAGGTCCTCACAGCTAGCCGTGGCTAGGGGGACGGACGACTCTAGGGACGGGGTGTCCGTCACTTTAGGCTGGGGCTGGGACGGGCGGGGTAGAAGGTGGCTGTAGATATCTGTTTCATAGAAGAATAAATTTCAAGGAGTTTTTTAGAGCTAAAACATGTAGTGAGATACAAATATAACTGATAACTTGAGATAGATTCCCAATTCTTGATGCACGGTACACGTCATAGAACTGCAATATCTTGCTTGCTGTGTGTGCTGATATCTTTTGCTGCCAATGGCAAGATAGAAATTTGATTTTTACAATAATGAGAGGACAAAAAATTAGCACAACCAGATGGGTGCTGGTTGGCTTTGAGGGACCACCGTCTAATATAGTCCAATGCTCTTTGTTACTAATACTATTTCTGGTTTGTTTTAAATTCAACACATTCATTAGAATTAATGGACCAAAAAAAAGCTATAGGATGGAAAATTCCGCTTTTACAACCCGTTATATGTATACATTCACATGTGAAAGTATGTGTAGGCTATGTGTGTGTGTGTGGGGGGGGGGGGGGGGGTGATTGGTTTGTTTTAAATTCAACAAATCAATTAGAATAAATGGACAACCCGTAATCAGTATACATTATGTGAAAGTATGTGTATGTGGGGTGGGGAAGTAGTATGTTTACAAGTATTTTCATTATCAGCCTACAGTGCGTACGATCGGTGTGTGTGTGTGTGTGGGGGGGGGGGGTTTCGGTGGGATGTAAATAACATACAATTAAAACCAGCCTAGAGTCTTATGTGTGCAGAACAAAGAAGGGGGCGCATTGATATGTGATTAATGCATTTACATCTTTTGTTTTTGTCATAGATTTTTTAAATAAAATCATCAAAGTTGTTTGGTAAACCATTTTAACACTGTCTCTCACGCATGCGCAGACTTACCGTTATTGCTGGACCTTCTAGAACTTTTCTCCACCGACCTGAGCAGACCCAGCATTGACAAGCTGACGCTGGGGTCACTCTTGTTTGGCCGGAGCTTCAGACTGTCCAGGGTCCTGGAGTTGTCCACCGAGGGAGGGAGGAAGCTGGTCACCACATTACAGTCTGGCACCGACCCGCTCTGGGCGAGCTGAGAAGACGGAAGTTTCAAACTTGACCCAAGATTTAACTTGGAGGAAGGTCCATTTTTAAACCGTTCTGAAATTTCCAGATTCGGTTTGGGGTCTGTTTTTGGCAAACAATTTGAGGCGTCGATTCTTAAACTGGAAGAGTTTGGACGACTTGGAAATGTCTGTGAGGAATTGTCTAAATTAATCCTAGGAGTGGCGGAATTTGACCGGCTGGTTGGTTTGTGTTCTTTGGTATCTTGACCGATGGCCAACGGTTTAATGGACGAAGTCTTGTTGGCCGTTTTTCTCGTGTCGTTAGACTCCCGTGCACCGTCTTGGATGGATATTTTAGTCAGGACTAAATACCGAGACCGACCGTTGTTCTGTTGGGGTGAGCTGGTCAGTCTGTCTTTACCCGACCACTGAGGTAGATTTTGGTTTGGGTTGTAGGTTAAGTCAGACGGTGGCTTAACCAGTTCGGTCAGCTGGTCAATGCTGAGGTAACCGGGCGTGATCAGCTTTAAACTGGTCTCCGTCACGCTTGATTTCTCTTTACCCGAATGCCGGAAGTCTGTGCCGGATTTTTTCCCGCTGTTTAGTCTGGTATAAAAATCTAAATCTCGGCTTGAGTAAGCCAATTTGGCAACACAGTTTTTTACCAGCGTATCGCTTGTTGATCTGGCTTGATTGGTACTAGAGGCGCTGGTGCTTTCAATGTCTCTTGCAGAAACCAGGCTCCCACATTCAGGGCTCAATGAATCACTGCTCCGGCTTTCTTGACTCAGTACGGAGTCAGAATCCTGACTGTGGGTACTGTCACTAGTGTCACTTTTGTGACTGTGCGTAGTGTCGCTATTGTCACTTTTGTGACTGTGCGTAGAGTCACCAACCTCACTTTTGTGACTGTGCGTAGTGTCACTATTGTCACTTTTGTGACTGTGCGTAGAATCCCTAGCATCATGTTTGTGACTGTGCGTAATGTCACTATTGTCACTTATGTGACTGTACATAGAGTCACTTGAGACCGTTGCCTCCCCTTCCTGGCGATGTTTAAGGTTATTTGAGTTAAAGCCAGGTCCCACAACTCTGTCATCCAAACCAGTTGGCTTTATATCACATTTCACACCATCTGCCTTAGTCACCCCACCATCCTCCATTACATTCTCCATTACATTCTCCATTACATTCTCCATTACATTCTCCATTACATTCTCCATTACATGTACGTTACGGGTCTGATCCATAACTCCTTCAACAGCGGATCCCTGAAATTTGATAAAATCAGTTATATTTTCAGATATTCTATTTTTGTATTGTTTACTTTATTATTTTAATAACAACAATAGTACATTAATTATGCACTGTATGACACGCATGAGAGCAATTAAAAAGAAGTAAGCTAATATGTATTTTTTAAAATTTTATTGTCGATTGAATTTAGAAAATTGAAGATCTGCAAATATGATTTAGGCGTAAGGGCACTGTCTAAATCTTCCAATATTGTTTTCATTATCCGTAATAAGTTCCCCGCATCACTTTCAAATACGAAAGTAAAAAGTATGTATACAAGTGCAATAAACAATACCGCACAGCACGTATGTCAAGTTTACAGGTGTAGTTAACACTAATTTACCTGAGCGTCACCATTGAGCATTTTGTCGAGCTTATTACTCCCGCCTGTTGATTGGCTGCCTTTGGCTAGTTGTTGAGCCAGTCTCTGAAGCTTTACGGACCTTAGCAATTCTTGTAGATTTGTGTCTAGAGTATTGCTGTCACTGGGCTGGTCCAAAACACGGAACTGACATTAATTTAATGAAACAAACATGAATTAATATTGGCTTTTTAGTACAAGGTCGGTCCAAAACACGGAGCTGACATTAATTTAATGAAACAAACATGAATTAATATTGGCTTTTTAGTACAAGGTCGGTCCAAAACACGGAGCTGACATTAATTTAATGAAACAAACATGAATTAATATTGGCTTTTTAGTACAAGGTCGGTCCAAAACACGGAGCTGACATTAATTTAATGAAACAAACCATGAATCAATAATGGCTTTTTAGTACAAGGTCGGTCCAAAACACGGAACTGACAATAATTTAATGAAACAAACATGAATTAATATTGACTTTTTATTACAAGGTCGGTCCAAAACACGGAACTGACATTAATTTAATGAAACAAACATGAATTAATATTGACTTTTTAGTACAAGGTCGGTCCAAAACACGGAACTGACAATAATTTAATGAAACAAACATGAATTAATATTGACTTTTTAGTACAAGGTCGGTCCAAAACACGGAGCTGACATTAATTTAATGAAACAAGCATGAATTAATATTGGCTTTTTAGTACAAGGTCGGTACAAATCACGGAACTGACATTAATTTAATGAAACAAACATGAATTAATATTGGCTTTTTAGTACAAGGTCGGTCCGAAACTGAGAGGTACCATTAATTTAATGAAACAAATTTTGATTAATGCATGGTCGATTCAGAATTAACTTTAATTTATTGAAACAAAAACTAATTAAATTTATAACATTAATTAATTAAATAAAAGATTAATTTAAAGTTGTTTGAATCACAGCTAGCAAATTTTAAATAGGCTGTTAATCTTTATACAGTTGGTCTTTAGTAATAGCTTGTTAATAACAACCTAACACCCCTTATTTTGGAAGAGTCAATTGTCCGACTCAAAAACACCAATAAAAATGTTTAAAAAAATCTTTTTTAAATACACAATATATACTTTAGCTATAAAGGACTAAAGTTAGCTTTTAAAATCCTATAGGTGTTAGTTTTAAAGTTATATTTTGGTGTGGGCAGTCCTACTCAGGCATAAAATGTCGTGGTTGGTTAACCCAGCATTGTGACATTTGAGCTGTTCTACTGTCAAACATTTCCCATAAGAGTTGAGTGAGAAAATTTTCTCTATGAAAATTTTGAAAAGCCAATAAAATAATAATTCATCAGAATTTCAAATTTGGCAAAGAAAATCTACATACGTATTATACACACGAAGTTATTATTACGTTTAATAAAAAATAATTTTTCTTTTTTTTTCTTTTTAGCCGTTTCACAATGAAAATAAACGAGCACAGCCTAGTATTTCGACTCACCCGAGATTCATCTAGGCCTTGACCTTTGGAGGTTTCTGAACCCGTCTTTTGACCTTCTCGACTTGAAACATGTATTGGAACTTGTTCTTGAGTTCTAGCAACATGTACAAGAATGTGTGCAAGTTAGCGAGACTTTTAGTTAAAGACTAGAATAAGCAAGCTGAATGGAAAGAAACGAATGATTGAAGGCAAACAAGACAAGTTTTGATTATTGAGTTGTTCAGATGAGATAGGAGTGTGCGTGAGGGGGGGGGGGGGGTGGGGTGTTTTTAAGTGTGTGTGGTTTTTGAAGACAGTACTCTGCGCATTTTGGGTAGTTTTAGAAATCTTGGCATCAGTTAATCTGCGCATTTTGGGTAGTTTTAGAAATCTTGGCATCAGTTTTTTTTTTTTTTTTTTTTTTTTTTTTTTTTTTTTTTTTTTTTTTTTTTTTTTTTTTTTTACATTTTTTACATTTACATTTATATTTTTTTTAAAACAGTTATTTTCAAATAGAAATAATTACATCAGCATATACAAATGTGTGTGCGTTAGTCAGTTACATAATTCAAACATTTACAAAAATTATCATTACATGAATAAAACGGTGAACATTACTAAAAAAAGATTTGTTGATCAACAATTCAAATGAAGGTAATTAGAAATAAAAAAATATAAAAGTTGTATTTTTAGCATGATAATTTATAGTCTTACATGTTTTTACATTTTTGTTGAGAATTTTTTACAATATAAACAGCATAAGAAATTAATAGTAAATATTAACAATATGTAAAAAAAAAAAAAAAAAGGTGGAAAGCGAAAAACGGAGATGCACAGTAGATTCTAATTGGATTTCCGTATTATTTTCTGATCTTGGCATCAGTTAATGAAAGTAGGACGCCGGGTACGGTACACTGACAGTTAACGTCCAATAAGCAAAAGTTTTATTTATTTACTTAGTAACTATTTGCTAAAGCTATTAGTTTTCTATTTAAACTAGAGTAGTATCATAATGTTTAAGTTAATAAAACATTACGTTTAACTAAACAATCATATACATATTGTAATATTTAAATTTATTAAAATAAAAATCAATGATCCTAAACTTTACAAAATACTATTAAACTAAAACATATTTTAATGACTAATACATGACATCATTTTGGGTTGTTTCCCGTGATTCTTTTTATTTGTTAAATGGGAGGTAAGCAACTTAATATTCATTGTTAGGCAATTAATTACAGCTTTACACTTAACAAGCAGTGATGAAATACATTATTATATTTATTATATAAAACATTATAGTCATATGCATATAAATTTACTTATATATCTTCATATTTATATATTATACATTCATGTTCAAATTTTCGAACCTCACATTTCGAAAAAAACGCTGCTCAAAGTCCGAATTTTTTTGCATTGAATAATTAAATGAAGGACTGCTCTCACTATACGAGTGGTCCAGTCGGACGGCACCTAGCACGACTGCTAACCCAAACATCTGGGATTCGAATCCGGATGACTTCACTGAGTCTCACCAGCCCTAATAGATACCTGACCCCAGTTAGGGAAACTTAAGGCGGATTGGCATTGAACTGATCTTATATGCTGAGGTCACATAAACAGGTGAACTATACCTCATCTACTTTTTTGCAGCTCCTGAAAGGTAACTTAATTTTTAACAAGTAAAACAGGTTTAAGAAGGTCGAATGAGACATTAGTGTAAGCACAAGAAACGGACCTGATCAATGTGACGTTATCTTGAAACAGTCGATAGACGAGATCTTATCTTCAACGGGAACGGGCCATGCTTGGTGCAACACCTTCACATCCTGGTTACCTTACTCACCTGACCCACGTGCAACAACACCTTCAGCATCCTGGTTACCTTTACTTACCTGACGCACGTACAACAACACCATCAACATACGGTTACCTTTACTTACCTGACGCACCTACAACAACACCTTCAACATCCGGTTACCTTTACTCACCTGAGATGCACGTGCAATGGATCTGGTTCCAGGCTCGCCTGTAAACTCTGGCACAACGTGAACACGTGCCTGTATTCTTCCCCAACCGATGGTTCCTCGGCTTGTTTCAGTTCTTCGCGTGAAATAAAAACCAAAACTTTACAAGACAGTAAACATCCTAATGATATTCTGGTCTAGGGGATGCAGGGTATGCTAACAACTTAAGACAGTAAACATCCTAATGATATTCTGATCTATGAGAAGCAGAATAGTGCTAACGACTTAAGACAGTAAACATCCTAATGATATTCTGATCTAGGAGAAGCAGAATAGTGCTAACGACTTAAGACAGTAAACATCCTAATGATATTCTGATCTAGGGGAAGCAGAATAGTGCTAACAACTTAAGACAGTAAACATCCTAATGATATTCTGATCTAGGGGATGCAAAGATGCTAACAACTTAAGACAGTAAACATCCTAATGATATTCTGATCTATGAGAAGCAGAATAGTGCTAACGACTTAAGACAGTAAACATCCTAATGATATTCTGATCTAGGAGAAGCAGAATAGTGCTAACGACTTAAGACAGTAAACATCCTAATGATATTCTGATCTAGGGGAAGCAGAATAGTGCTAACGACTTAAGACAGTAAACATCCTAATGATATTCTGATCTAGGGGAAGCAGAATAGTGCTAACAACTTAAGACAGTAAACATCCTAATGATATTCTGATCTAGGGGAAGCAGGGAATACTAACAACGTAAGGCAGTAAACATTCTTATGATATTCTGATCTAGGGGATGCAAGGAATGATAACAACTTACGACAGTAAACATCCTAATGATATACTGATATAGAGGAAGCAAAATAGTGCTAACGACTTAAGACAGTAAACATCCTAATGATATTCTGATCTAGCAAGGAATGATATTTTAAGACAGTAAACATCCTAATGATATACTGATCTAGGGGATGCAGAGAGGGCTAACCCCCCCCCCCCCCCCCCCCCCACCATCCATGAAAAAAATACTTTAAAAAACACTTTTAAATGTTTATAAAGATTAAGTTAATTGCTTGTCATAATTATTTAATTATTACTAATCGAGATATTATTTCACTATAGTATAAAAGAAACAAATAACTATCTTAAACCAAATTTAAAGTAATTTTTAATTTTAGCCGTCCAAAAATTAAAAACTGAATTTGCCATTTCATTTATTATTCATCAACATATAAAATACTCCGTGACTAGTATTGAATCAATGTGTTATCACACATAGATCCTAATTTATAAAAGCCCAATGTGCGCACATCTCTCTCTCTCTCTCTCTCTTTCTCTGTCCGCAAAAAATTTTCGCCGGACATCACGTCAGAATCGGCAGCGGTATATGGAGAACTTTTTACGGACTTTTGTTGAAAATAATATGTTAGATGTTTTAAATGTATAACCACAATTTTACTTAAAGAAGAAAAATAAAAATTAAAGGCGTATTCGAATGTAGAGAAACAGTATTATTTATGCAACCGGAAAAGCATTAATATATGTGAAAAAGAACGCATAAAACTGTGACGTCATTATTGCTTATACATTAACTAATGACGTCATCTGCCGTGTTAAGAATGAAAAGAAATGAACTATTTCATTCAAATTTGATTTAGATCTACGTACACTATGAAATGTATACAATACAATTTTTCCGGCCTAAACTCATAAAATTTATTTTATGTATTTGGATTCTAGATCTAGAGATTCTAGATCTAGACTAAATCTAAATCTACGCAATAACTAGATCTAGACGTAGACGCTAAGATCTAGATTTAGACTCTAACTTCTCTAAAATCAATTCCAAAAATAAATGTCTATATTAGGACTAAACTATTTCAAGACTTATTTATTTTATACAAAATCTTTGTTTGGAACTGGCTAATTTGGGATAAAAAATTAATTTGAAAGAATAGGCATATTCGCGTAAGTTAAGATTTTAAAATACGTGTTTCATTCTCCGTATTTTATAAGGTGCCTAAATAGCGGAGATGTTAGTGTACATTAAACCACGCAGGTGGTGCGGGTTCGAGACACAGCAAGTCAACTTGGTTAATGTATTCTTTTTTATTATGCTCGGGCTAAATTTAAAAAAAAAATTCTTTTAGGAATCTAGATCTAGATCTAGATTGTCGGGTGTCCGATAGGGCACTTCCCGGCGCCGCAGGCGCTTCAAATTTGGCATGATCTTGCCTTGGTGCGACAGAACACGGGGGCCGGTTGGCCGAAAAGTCTACGATGTGGGGGTCAAAACTGACCTCGACTGACCGGTACCTTATATGAGCTATAAATCGAAAAAAAATGTCCACGGAGGAACCTCTTCATAACTCTTGAGGTCGTAGACCGACCTTCGGGCGAATTAATTAAGCATTCAAATTCTCAATGTTTTCGAAAGCCTAAGCGAAGCTGGGCAGCATGCCTAGTCTGTATATAAACCTCTGCGAAGGGGAGGTGAGACCTAACTCAAGAGAGACAACTCACTTCTTCGATTCTCGCCCTTTTTACCACGACACATCCATGAGACGATGTCTAAGTTGATTGAGAAAAAGGTAAATATTAGAGGATGAAAGTTACTCTCTATTAAATATAGTCATACTTTCACTAAGAATACTCTGGCTTACATGACTACAGACTTATAAGTGTTTAGGAGTCATGTACACTAAACAAATATCACATTTCTTTTACCATTACCTATTTTGAAATGATTTAAGAATTCTATAGATTACAATATCTTACATTACAGTACATCTCATATACAGTGATAGTAGCAGTATACGAAAAAACAACGATATGAAAATGGTCAAGTAAACAGATCAGGTGCCACATACCATTTTCATCTATAACTTCCGGTGTGTACCACCCGGATATGGGATGTTGTCGTCTGACTGTGATAGGTTTTCTGGAATAATTTATTTTTGGTTGTTAATCAGATAAATTGTTCTAATACATTTTGAATTTTTTCTTTTAAACAGGTACACACATATTGCATAGATAAGTAGGAATAACATATACACACATATAGCCTAACTTATAAGTATGTATTATATATATAATATATATAATATATATATATATGTATATATATATATATATATATATATATATATATATATATATATATATATATATATATATATATATATATATATATATATATATATACAAACACAAATATAGCCTAGTTAAATATGTATTATATATACACACATATGGCCTATATAAATATGTATTATATATATATATATATATATATATATATATATATATATATATATATATATACAACACAAATTTAGCCTATTTAAGTATGTATTATATATACAGACATATAGCCTATATAAATATGTATTATATATATAATTGAATGCATATATAGGTTATATATTTATAAAGAGCTATACGTATAATCTTAGAATATGTATACATTGTGGCTATGCTATCTCACCTGTAAATGTCAATTTTACCAGCCTGTGGTTTCTCCACTTTACCGGGCTTTGTTCCCAGAGGTCTTCGGACAGCCATGGTCATAACATCAAGCACTCATTGAAACATCAACTTCACGAACATTTTGGCTCAGTGTTTCTTCCAGACTTTTTTCTCCGGGGGGGCACTTGAAATTTTCGGGGGGGCGGTAAACTTTCTTCGGGGGGGCGGACACTGTTAAAAGTATATATTTTCTATATAAATTATATAAATTTCATTTCGTTCGGGGGGGGCGGTAAAAAATTTTCGGGGGGGCTTCGCCCCCCCGAAGAGATGCCTGGAAGAAACTCTGTTTTGGCTGTTGCATTGTCTTTAAAACAATTATATAACAGCAAGCACTCATTGAAACATCAACTTCACGAACATTTGGCTGTTGCCTTGATTTTGAAACAATTATATAACAGCAAGCACCCATTGAAACATCGACTTCACGAACATTTTGGCTGTTGCATTGTCTTTGAAACAATTATATAACAGCAAGCACTCATTAAAACATCAACTTCACGAACATTTGGCTCTTGCATTGTCTTTGAAACAATTATATAACAAATTTTTTGGCACTTCTATTGTCGACGAAACCAAAATTTAACGAACAGTTTGATTGTTCCATTGTTATCAGTGAAATAGGAATTCGTCGAAAACTTTGTCGGTGTTTGTAGCTCCGTCGTCATTGATGAAACACGCTATTCTGAACAGTTGTTGGTGAAGGAGTCGCATTGTTCCAAATCTTCAACACATCCAGAAATTATAATTCATTTAACCTGTCAAGCTACTCTATTAAAAATCCTTGGATATGAACACCACAACACAACACATATCTCTAGCTTTATAGAGATCTACATTCATTTACTTGGTGTTACTGTTTGTATATCCACGAATGACTGAACAGCCTATACGAATTGATAGATATTTAAAATAAAAATAATAAAACCGATATCGATTTCGAATTGTGGCTTGTGAATAGCATTGACGGTGTGGGAAGTGTATGAATGAATCCTACACCAGGATAGTGGGGTTCGCGAGGCGTCCTAGAGGGCGCTGTTTGTCGTGATCCTCAGAAACGCGAGATTAACTCAAGCAATTAACACGCTAAATAATACATTGAACGATTTTACGGGCCGTGTCCCCTACCCCCCCCCCCCCCCCCCCGCGGCCTACACAACTAATGGAACAACTGATGTGCAACGATGCGTGAAGCAATTCAAATAACAGCGTCAGAAAGAAATCGTTCAATGATCTTTGTTACAAAATCATCAAACCAGAACAATTTTGCGATATCTAGAAGCAATTTACAATCTATTTAAAACAGCAATTAACGTTGATACAAAGATATTTTGTTGGTGATTGTAATACATTTTATCACATTTTTACAAGCTTTTATTTAACTCACTTCCTCTGTCTGTCGTCAGTCTAGACGGAAACGCAGGAGTGAAAATTCGGACAGTTCTACTTGACCGACACGATTCACAGTTGGCACGTGGGTCAAGACATGAAGACAATGCAATCTGAAACTAAATTTGACTTAATTGGATGCCTAATTGATTTTTTATGAATTAATTAAAATTTGGACCGAATTAGTAGGCATGTCTAGCCAACCACACCACACGCGTCATCAATAGTTGCGCCATCACGACCACGTAATGGCTGCGTTCAAAAACCATTGCGCGCCTACTGAACGTGATATTCAGTAGGCGCGCAATGGTTTTTAGTCATGTAACTCTATTGTAGATAAAACATGTAAAGTACTGAAAAAAAAATTCATAAAAAACGTTTTAATAACAAGCTTTTATGTAATGATGCACTAAAAAGTAGAAAATAAATTATAGACTACTATTTAAATAACTATAAAGAAAAGCGTGGGTGTCTTCCTTAACATTAGTAAAGGTATCCAATAGATACTAAAGTGACCCACGCTTTTCTTTATAGTTATTTAAATAGTAGTCTATAATTTATTTTCTACTTTTTAGTGCATCATTACATAAAAGCTTGTTATTAAAACGTTTTTTATGAATTTTTTTATACACCTTGTTCGATTTTCTCTAAAGAATACAATTGTAAAGATAGAGTCGTCTTTGTTATAATTGTTGTGTTACAAATTGCGATAAGAATTGTTTTTTCTAACCATTCAATGTAGCCTGTCAATAAATAAAGTAGTTAAAACACCGTAGGCTATGTAACACAAGCCAATCAACATAGCAGATACACAATGTCTTTAGGGGGAAAATTTAATCAAAGAACACAACAAACTGTTTACTAGATATATGCACAGAAGGCCATATATCTGTATATGTAGTAGGTGTATAATCAATAATGATACTTGAACCTATAACTTGAACACCAATCCTATACCTGACACTAATCATACCAATATTATAAATATTAATCATTAATATCATTAATGTTTACTAACCCTAACCAACATCTAACATCACAACTGAAATGGCTAAAGCTTTTAAATCTCGTTAGCAGTTATAAGATTACATAGTTGATTATTGCTAAGAACAGAAAAAAAAAACCAATTTGTTTGATAAGATTTGGGCTTAAAAATAAATATGTCGAATAACAAATGTGTTGTGGGACAACAGTAGTATAGTAGGTCGTGTTTGGGTCGAAAGAGGAGGAGGAGGCGAGGGGGAGGAGGAGGAGGAGGAGGAGTGATTGATTATTTTGACCGTTATTGATTGATTTTTGCCCACCTGTTGCATATTTTGACCGTTATTGATTGATTTTTGCCCACCTGTTGCATATTTTGACCGTTATTGATTGATTCTCGACCACCTGTTGATTTGTGTCCCTGTTTTTTGACCAACTATTGATTTTTTAGCCCGTTGTTGATTGTTCATTAAACAACTGTTGATTATTTTGACTAGTAGGTTATTGTTTTGATCGGTATGTTGACCACTTGACCACTTGTTGACCAAAACGATTATCATAGAGGAGGAGGAGGAGGTTATTGTTTTGATCAATTGATCGATATATTGACCAGTTGACCAACTGACCACTTGAGCTATTGTTTTATTAATGGTTAAATAATAATGTTATACATTTTGTTGACCAGTGGACCAACTGACCAGTAGTTGACCAGATGATTAGTTTATCGGTTGTTGACCAGTTGCCCATTTGTTGGTTGTTTTTATTGACCTGGACGACAGTCCGGCTTTAACAGTATATCGTAAAATAGTATTTCACCACCCTCCAGTGAGGGTGTGGGTGGGGGTGACGCGGGTGAAACCCGGGGTCGGGTGGGGGAGGTGGTAGCAGGTGGTATCCCTTCCCTTTGTGTTTTGCAATCTCATTCTCCCTTTGTCTGAAGTCTGTGTGAGCATGTCCTTTTGTGTGCCGCTACTAGCGTCATACTCAAAGGCAGGTGCTGTACCCCATTGTCTAATCCAACTCACGCGCCTTTACTATCGATTTTTTTAAAGTCATGTTTAAACATGTTGACCGTATAAAATCTTTTTGTTGAATAGGACTGGTGGATGTCGAATTCTACTCGTCTTAATATAAAGAGATACATCACGTGCCAACAGCCCGGGCGGTTATTGACCCCACTGGTGGTTTCTACTTGTTTGTTGTGTTTATGGCTTGCGTTTATTTACACACACACACACACACACACACACACACACACACAACTTACACACAACTTATATCACAACAAAAGACTTCTTATATTTTATGACTTTATTTCAACTTTCTCCAAGTCATCAAACGCTTTTAAAATATCATATCTCAGGGCGAGTAAACGTTCAAAGGCTATACGAGAGAGATTTATTCCAGAATTATTAGGAAATTTAAGATCTGTACCATCCATAAGATCTCTAAGATTTAAAGTGTTTTTGTTCATGAATTGACTAACGATAGCTACTTTATAACCACTGTCATTCGTCGTTCGTATTTCCGTCACTTTATTACTATTCCGGGCGACAAGTAACCAATCTTCACTAGCCATCTTGAAAGCGCCGAAATAAACGTTTATAAGTAGTCCCAATAAGTGCAAGTGTTAAACGTGATATAAGTCGATCGTTAATATATTG